CAAAAAATTTTATAATATCCTAGCATTGCCAGAAAATAATTTCTATTCAAAGTAGATCGGTAAGTGAAAGTTGTGTGTTGCGCGCACCAGATTTTTTATTATATGTATTTGCGTGTTTGATAATAAATGCACATTTTGATTATTTAAAACGAAAAAATAATAATTAGAAATATTAAATTGAATTAAAACATTCTAAAATGAATTCTATATCACAACCATAGAGTCATCTTGAGTTAGTTAAACATAATAACTCTTATTTCTACTAAGAGAGTGGTAAGTAAAAGTCATGTGATGCGTGCATCAGTTTTTTTTCCATTTTATTTTATCTCCCCATCCGTATCCATTTAGATAGTATCGCCAATTCAGTGACTTCCATCCACTGACTTAAAGAGGAATTTATGTTGGATACATTCTTAAAGATTTATATTGATTTAGGAGCTAATGAAAATTATTAAATATATTATTTTTAAAAAATATTGCAGGAAAAAGACTAGATTTAGACACATAACTTTAAAATTCTAATTTTCTAAATTTAATTTGATAATATTAGTCTAAAATATAATGTACTGACATCATTGTAAACATTATATTTTTTCTCCATCATCCATCACAACTGTAAACAAATGTAAAAATATTTTTAAGAAAATAATTTGAGACTGTATTTTTTTTACCTTGGAGTCTTCTTCTTGTTCAATCTTATATATTGATAGAAATTTTACATTGTTATATTATAAACTGTTACATTATAACATCTCGCATATCAATAAATAGTTGGAAGTATGAATACGTTATTAAAATTATTCCTTTAAGTTTATTAAATTATAAACTATCGATAGTCACTAGGACTGACCACTGACGGATCCAGGATTTAGTTTTAAGGGGCTTCAGCCCGAAAGATTTTTTTTTGGATAAATATATGAGGATTATGACTTCGGAATAAAGAAAGAAACTAACTACCTATATGAAATGGTCTTTAAGTGATTGTTAAAGTCCTATTAACTGTAATTAGAAGAACAATAATACTTTTGAAGATAATTTTTTTCATGAAACATGGCTATAATTACCATTGGGGGGGAGGGGTTCACCCCTAAAGCCCCCTCCCGTATATCCGCCGGTGGGACTGATGATGGTACTTTCGACTATCCCTAATTTCAGTGTTTTAAGAGCTTATTTGTACACTGTTATAACTCAAACTGTACCAACCCTCAATTTATTAGGAAACGAAAACAAACAAAAAAATCCTCTTTGAACTTCTTCGAATTTTCTATAATTATAGTTTCAGACTAAGTGATAAGGGAAAAACATGGGACAGATCACTGCAAGTTCATCTGTATGATCTGTGATTTTTCTAATTCTACGTTAGTTTGCTCTGTTTTTAAGAAAAATTGAAGAATAATATATCTTGGCAGGGGAAGGTTTTTGCGCCATAAATATTGGGGTGTAGGGGATGGGCACCTACTATTAAACATAGTAAACAAAATATGAGAATTTTTTAATTATAACCTTTAATGTAAATTCACGAAATTAACAACGGTTTTAACAGATCCCAGACCATGTTAAAATATATTTATTGCGCATTTAACACGTTAGCTGCGGTTACGGTCCCTGGGTTCCGACATTCTTCTCGTTTTCGGCCGGGATTGTTTCGAATTCTGCCTTTCTCGCGAAGTATCTAAAATGATCATTTTTAAAAATATTTGAATTGAAGTTGAATAGATAGATGTAAATATAGATACAAACGTAAACAATCATTATATCTGATAGACGCCTGGAAACGTGGCCGCTGCTGACGTGTTTTATGAATACCCTTATTGTGCAATTATTAATTGTGCATTTTTGATTGAAAATGAGCCAAATCTACCTTAGAGACTGAACTATCCATTCACACAAGAACAATCTAAACTGTTGTCTTCTACTCCTATCAGTGTTTTGTATTTAAATGAAATAATTAATTTTAATTATCTCTGTTCATTGTTTATATTATTATATATTACTTCCAAGAATAATTTCATGGTCGTAAATAATTGCTGTACTTTTTTCAATGGCGTTATTGATGTAGAATTCCTTAACAACGGCCTTGTACAAATACCGTCCTGTGACCACCGCCACTAGCGGATCCAGGATTTAATTTCTTTTTTTTTGGGGGGAGGTATTCGGCCCTCAAGCTTTTTTTTCACATATATATATATATATATATATATATATATATATATATATATATATATATAAAACTATAATTAATTTGAAAAAAAAAAAAAGAAATTAACTACCTAATGGTGATTCTTGAAGTCCTATTAAATGTAATTACACGAACATGAATACTTTAAGAGTTTTTAATATTTTTTTGTTTAAAACATGGTTATATTTTACCATTTTTAGGGGCTTCAGCCCGAAAGTTCCTCTCTCTCGTCCCCAACCCCGTAGATCCGCCTGTGACCACCACTATTCTCTGCCTCAACATTTTTTATTTGGATTACACTGTAAAATTTATAATGTATGTAAATCGCACACTAATAAATATAATGAAATAATAATAAGAGTATTTTATTTTATGACTAATAAAGAAACACGATAACTGACGAGCCTATATAAGAAAAGTGAACATTGTGATCTAAAATTATTTGTGTACATAGGTTGGTATGATAAGCTGTTAGAACTGATGTAATTTATTAAGGAAATTAATAAACATGTAACAGCTTCCTTAAATTACATACTCTATTTAATTGAAAAACCTGTTGTATCAGTTCTTAATCAAGCTAAGTGTCCATCGAACTTTTACTTTTTGAGAATTCACACTGCTTTGACAATACTTTAGTCTTATAGTCTTATTTAGTTATACCTCAGACTTAGAGGAGAGGTTAACCCTCCTCCCCCCCCCACAATAAAATTAGAGAAAGAGTGAGAATTTCGTTTCGCCCCCTCCCCTCCCCCAATATTTCGAAGACTATTAATAAAATCAAAATTAAGAAAATTTGTAGATTAAAATCAATCAAGAAAATAGGAAAAGTCGACTAGATGACTAAGCTAAGGCCTAGAAGTAAGTACCCAAGTATTTTACCACATCCTATGTTCCTATTATTGAAATTTTATTTTATATTCAAAGATAACTATATATAGCAACATACCCTAGGATTTAATGATTTGTTCCTAAGCACCCTTCCATTTTTACATGAAGATTTAATTATGTTTCCTGCTGCAACTTAGAAACATTGGAGAATTGAGATTATATCTCATTGCCTCAAACCTTTAAATAAAAATAAGAATAGGTAATGTTCTATTGATTTGAAAACATATTTTCAAATATACCGATACACAAAAAAAAAAATTAATATTTAACGCATATGACTTTATTTTTATACATAGTATTATATTGTTCGTTTTAGAATAATTATGATAATTATCACTTAAATTTTTTATAAATAATAAATTTCCGAGACTTTTGGGGGAGGTCCGTTGTCGTCCCCCCCCCCTCTCCCCCGACTACAATGGAAAGTCTGTGCTTATGCAACAAATGATCAAGACAAGACATCATTTTTTTTTTTTTTTTTTTTAGTTCTAATTACCTTGTAAGGTACTCCTGTGCCCTATTTCTTCTTAAACTTTTTAGGAGGCCTGAGAATTAATATTAGTTAGCACCTTCGGGCAAGCAACCTTTTTTCATTACTCTGTTATAAAATAATTTAAATTTGATGTAATCTTTTATTTACTGTTTTAAATTATAATCGATATTTTACACAACAGTTGTATGGGTGTTGTTGTCACGTTTAAGATTCCACGGATATTTTGGAGCTTCTTAATAAAAAATGAATGTATGAAAAATATTGATTAAAGTTGTGTCATCATACATCGGAGCAAGAATGTGAAGAGCTGCATTATTAATATGAAAATGGAACTTTCGAAAGTCCTTCATTCGAGGTCCAGAATAAACCATAGATGAAATATGTATCCCTGTATTTAGCATTTAATACTTATGACGTCAGAAAAAACGATCTGAGCCTCATATACCATTCTTGTACTGCCTATGCTATCGCTCAAAGGCTTTAAATAAAATTTAAATTATTATTTGCTATAAGGTATTTTTAAAAGATTTTCAGCTTTCTTTGGGGATTCAACAAATTTACCACCTGAGATAAATTATCAAATCTTTAACTTCATTAAATATTTCAACATTTTGAACATTTGAACAACAGTATGAATTTGATGTATCGGTCGCGCTCCTCCTAACAGTAGCGGATCCAGGATTTAGTTATATTTTGGGGACGGAGAGGCTCTATCATCATCAGGCTTATTCATATGACAAAAAATGTTTGTATTCATTCATTCATTTAATCCATTCTTGCCTATTAAATTGAACTGTATTTTTAATTTTAACATGACAATGGCTGAAGTAAAAATCTTCTAGAGGCTCTCCTGAAAAGTAGTTATTTGTAACTTGAACCCTTAGGACCTCACACAGTGGTAAAATAAAATAAAATCTACTACAGTTTGTCGTTCTTCCAACTGGTTCTCAATTGACAAGCATGGAAGGGATATACAAAGAAAATCCATCATAGATTTTATATACAAGCTACCCTGATGAACTTCTATAGATCAAAACTGGTTGCTAAGATAATTATAAAACTGCACAGGAAACTTGGCTTCTTGAATGAGCGTATTAGACCTTTTATTATATAATTTTCTTTTTGGCGCTACGGTCCATGAAGTCCCCTCAACAATTCTCCTCTCTAAGTACTAATATTTATTCTATTATTTTTTCTTTTGGGCTGCAATATTATAATATTGTTATGAGAAATATAATTATTTTAGTTTTAAATAAATAAATGTGCTCACATTTGATATGCTTTCTGAATTGAATTTTTTTTGTAAATAAAATTATGATATGTTATAAAAATTTGAACAGTATTTTACTATGAAAATTCATAAGGAAGTTTTTTTACTATAATATTAGAGCTCTTAAGTAAATGATATTTAATAATAATTGTTTGTTTATTGTCTTTCAGTTGGTGGGAGGTGAATTTGATATGGAATTGAACTTTGTCATACAAGAAGCAGACAATATTAAATATATGTTAGAATTGCTTGATCACTGTCAACCAAATCTTCAGGTATGTAGTTATTGATTACGAATTCATGCATTTTTATATACATGATATTAATACTTAAGTCTCTAAATTAAATAACTCTCTCATTTTACTTAGATTATTTGTCGGGAGAAATTTTTTGTTGTTATTAGTTATATGAAAAATGTATTGCTATTAATTTTTTGTATTATTAACTTAAAATAATATTTCTGTAATATATAAATATATCATCTGTCATATAACTGAATGAGCCATGAATTTGATATTTTCATAAGATAAGTAATATTTATCTTAGCATTTAAAATTATAAAGTTTAATCATAAAGTTATTTTTTGCAGGCCGAAATTTGGAGTGTTTTTATTGCAATTTTGAGAAAAAGTGTTAGAAATCTTCAAGCCTGTACTGAAGTGGGATTAATTGAACATGTTCTCCATAGGTTGCCTCTGGCTGATGCTGTTGTCGCAGGTAATGAAATTCTAGTGATACATCATTGGGATTGTTTCATTTTTGATCAGTTTGTTATTTTTGTGTTATGCTATAAATTTATAAGATCTTAAAAATAACTAATTAGTTTACAAAGTAATTTAAACTAAATTAAAGATTAGCAAGGCTATTGTGCTTGGTTCCAATAACATTCATATTTCCCAACTTAACTCTGCTGTCTTCCATCAGTTTAAACTATCCTAGTTTCATTTCTCGTTTCTTCCCAAATCCATTATAGGAGTATAGTATATGAGAGCTCCTTGAAGAAATCAATAAATTAAAGATTTGATGAACTGTTTTACAAGATTCATCCTTGAATCTCTCTTGAAGATTCTTATATAATTAGTTTAAACACAAACTTGAAATAGCTTAATCCTTCCTTTCAGAGACATTTTCTTTGCTCTTTCCTGTCCCATAATCTTTTTCTCTTTTATCTATTCCTATTGAAATCAACTATACACTCTAGAACAGGATTTTTTAAGCTTCTGTAGTCTGAGAAATTTACATTTTTTTCATGGATCACATTATAATACTAAGTTTTTTATGTTATGTTTATAACTAGTTAGGTAACATACAAGTCTTGATCATATAAGTTTTTTTATTAAATGAGTTATGATAATGATAAGGCTCGGCAAACCCTTAACCCTTGACATTCCGATCTTTTTTGCTCTTATCACTAAACTATTGCATGTAATAAATCCTTTTTAATCCATTCCTCAATTCTATGGAATTCTCTCCCTTTTAGCATTCATTCATGTTACTTCTTTAAATGGATTTGAATCCCTTTTTTTCATCATATTATTTTTCATTATATTATTGTTATTCATTTTACAGTATATTGTAAAATTTATAAATTTTTATTATTTATTTATTTGATGACTTCGATCCCAGAATAATGTTTTCTATTAATTAAATCAATCCATAGATTAAATTTGTTAATTATTCTAGTAATTAGTACAGTAATATTCATAAAACCACTTTTTTGAGGAGTTTGAAAATATGATACTATTATCGAATTGTTTCAGATCTACTCATTGATATGCTTGGAGTTTTGGCTAGCTACAGTATTACAGTTAAAGAGTTAAAACTGTTATTTGGGTCAATGAAGGCTACAAATGGGAAATGGGTGAGTGTATGTATGAAATACAGTTGCTTGTAGTATAAATAAGATAACTATTATATTAATTAAATTAACTTTCTCCATTAAGGTTACTAATGCTTTTGCATTTTCCTTTGAGCCACGCTTAGATCTAGTGTATGTAGGAGATGAAATATAAGAAGCAGTAAAAAAAATAAAACATGTTTACTGTTTAATGCATACTGATATTTCATCAAAGCTTTTATAGTAAGATACAAATAGTATAAAAAAACAGCTATGGTAGTACTATCACACTTTAAATCCCCAATATGGTGGTGCCTGAGGACACCGAACACAAACACTTTTAATATTGTTCTAGCCTTTTTGTTCTTTTCTTCCCATGACTTCTGTCACACAGGGTTTCGGCAGTAGTGAGTTAATATATTGGGTATGTGTAAGCCCATTACTGCCAATAAAATACTTTATTATCAACATTTCTTATTATACAACATTGAAGGATAGTTTTATGATGGGAACTATATATTAGGTTCAACTGTGGTGCAGCGCGGTGCATGGATGTGCACCTTATCCTCTGCCCGATCGCATGGCCAGCCCTCCTGGCACTCTGCAACCGGCTTAGCCTGCCTCCGTCTGGGTTGCCATCCTGTCTTCCTGGTCCACTGCATCAGACCAGTCCTCACCTGCCATCTTCTTGTCCCTCTTCATCCCCACTTGTCTTACTTGATTGATATTGGGTGGCAGGAACCTGCCAAGAGTGAAGTGTGACGAGCCCACCACTTCCTTCCACCTATAGATGAACTCCTGGAAGGAAGGGTAAAGGGTATTTCGCTTCTTCCATCAGTCAGGGAAATTCTGTTTCGGCAAGGGTGAAGATACCCGTCTTTCTTGGCAACCTGGCGTGGTGTCCTCCATGTCAGCATATTGTTGTGGACTGTGGATAGAGATTTTTTAATGTCTTCCCACAGTTTCATCGTTTCTTTAAAATTCCATTGGTGACCTACCTCTCATATGTTTTAGTCCTAACCTTCATTCATAAATGGTTGAAACTGTGACACAACAGAAAACAAGGTTGAGTCACAACCAGCCTATATAAAGTGGTTGCCCTTGATTAAGGGAAAAACCTGGCAGTTGAGTTTAATTTTAGCCAAGTCAAATCCTTATACCGCAGTTGGCTTAGTAACTAAAGTACTGAACCCAAGACCCTTCCTGGGTTATTGTACCCGGTTAGGGATTTTTAAACTTAACAAGAAGTGATGGAAACCAGAGGTGAAAAACAATTTCCCCTCACTGAAAGGACCAAATGTCAAATAGAACCAAAATATCAAAAAGTGTTGATAGACAAGTATGTCTCGATTCTTGAGAAGTCCGAATTCAGTCTCAATCACAATGAACAATTGTGCAGTAGAATTACTAGAGATATAAATGAATTTACAGTGAAGTACCTTAAATGTAGAGTACAAAACAAAAAGTTCTGCAGATATATATAATGATGAGCTTATTTGTGAGAAAACTAAATTCATTTATTAATTTTACATGTTATAGTAAGAGGATTAGATAAAAGAGAAAGTGTAAATTTAAATATTAATGAGCACAGAAAGTTTACATTGTAAAAATACAGAATTAAATAAGGAGGAATATTAGGAACTTCTTAAAAGAGACCGAGGGAGATCGGATGATGACCAAGGTATGTGTGACGCAGTCATCACTCCTTGGAGAGGGGGTAGAAATGACCGGAAAAAATACTAAGTCATAAAACAGTAACAGTTTCATGAACTTGTGTTGATGAAGAGTTTTCTTGGTCCTGGATTTTAAACTAATTACAGAACATGAGGGAAAAAGTGCTTTTTCAATAATAAATATAAGATCTGAGAATAAGTTGTTTTTGTGATCACCTTAACCAGTCTTCTTCATCTCTGCCTATCTTGGGTTATTGCTTTCCAGTTATCTGCATACAGTTCTGCAGCATCTTTGTTGATTTCATCCAGTTATTGGCATTCCATGTGCCAACTATTGTGGCATTCATTGTTGTGTAGTGACTTCCTGGTGAATTGCTCTGAGCTACATGCACTGCCAATCTTAACCTCATTGCCTTCATATCATCAGATATTGACTGACCAGTTTCTGTTAGCAGTTAATTTTCTGTCCTCCCATGATCTTATCCAGATTTCCTAGAACATCCTGATCCCATTTTTTTCTCCTCCAACCATATTTTTTACGAAACCTCAATTCCCTCACCTATGAAGCCCTGTCGCAGGACCTCAACGCTACCCAGTGGGACACCATTTATTCCTTAAAATCCATTGACGCCATGGTCATACCTTCCTCGACTGCCATGCTCCTCTCCTAACTAAAACCATCTGACATCGCCCTGCTCCTTGGCTGACACCTGCTCTGAGAGAGTGCCTGAGAAGAAGAGATGCGACAAGACAGCAATTCAAACGTACCCAACTTCCGGAAGACTATATTGCCTTCAAGCAACTTCGAAACAGCACTCAGTCTGTTATACGCCACGCCATAGCCCATTATTTCCATCATTCCTTATCCGACACTCCAAACTCCAAGGCCAAGTGGGCTATCCTCAAATAACTGACCATTTGTAACACACCTCAAACCCAGTTCATTTCCTTTTCTGCTGATGACCTTAACACTCACTCTGTCTCCTGTCCCTTCTCTGCCTCATCTCCTGTGACCACACCGGCTCCTATGAATTTCCCCATTAATTTTAATCCTGATCACTTCTTTTTTTCCCATATTACACCTGATGACCTCCTAAACTCGATTCAGAAATCGCAAACCAATAATTATGGACCCGATAACATCCTTGACTTCTCCAAAACCTTTGACTTAGTAGAACCACAAAATTCTCCTATCCAAGCTTAAAAATACGCCAAGGAAATTATCGGAGACTACCAATGCGGATTTAGACGGAATCGTTCGACTATTGATCAAATATTTTCTTTACGGCAAATATTAGAGAAAAAATTGGAGTATAACGGTATTGTTCACCAGCTGTATATAGATTTTAAAAAGGCTTACAATTCTATTGACCGCCAGAAACTGTATAATATTCTAATCGAGCAGGGGATTCCAAAAAAACTAGTAAATCTAGTCAGGATGTGCTTGACGGAGACACTCAATAAAGTTAGAATCGGTAATAATTTGTCCAAAAAATTTGAGGTTCGTTCGGGCTTAAAACAGGGGGATTCTCTTTCGCCTGTCCTGTTAAATTTGGCATTAGAACATGCCACTAGGGAGGTAATGCGAACCGAGAAAGGGTTGGATCTGGGCGGGACAACTTCCGTGCTGGGCTATGCTGATGATCTGGTACTGTTAAGGGAAGACGTTGAAACTATAAAACTAAATACGACAACGTTAATGAAAGCCGGTAAAGAACTAGGACTCGAAATAAACGTGGATAAAACAAAATATATGGTTAGCTGCAAAAATGGCGATACTACTGGTGATATCGATATAGATGGTAATATGTTTGAACAGGTAGATAAATTTAGGTATCTAGGTTCTACGATAACTAGAAAAAACGAAATTGAAGAAGAGATTAAGGTTAGACTGCAGGCGGGAAATGCTTGTTATTTTTCTGTGACAAAACTACTTAGTTCGCGCCTCTTGTCCCGGAACTTAAAAATTAGAATCTATAAAACAATTATCTTGCCTACAGTTCTTTATGGATGCGAAACTTGGCCGCTTACATTAAGGGATGAGCAGCGTCTTAAGGTTTTTGAAAATAAAGTATTGCGTAGAATATTCGGACCGAAGAAGGATGAGTTAACCAGAGAGTTCAGACAGTTACACAATGCCGAATTGCATGAGCTGTATCCGGGTAATATAATTGAAGTAATTTCATCGCGGCGAATCAAATGGGCTTGTAAAGTTGTTGGGCTTAGTAATGAGAGAATTCCTAAAAGGTTAATATTTGCTGTGCCGAATGGTAAGCGTCCGAAGGGTAGACCGAAGCGAAGGTGGGAAGATTGCATTAAAGCCGATCTGAAGGGACTGGGATTGGACGGCGAACGGTGGAGGGAGGTGTGTAACAAGCGATTGGTGGTGTCGGCATCGAACCTTCGGGTTCGCTAAGCCTTATTATTATTATTATTAAGCTTAAAAATATTTCCTTTTCAACTAGTACCCTTAATTGGTTTCAATCCTTCCATACCGGCCGGTCCCAGTATGTTGTAGTCCCCAATAACCCCCATCAGAATCTTTACCCTTGTCCAGAAATGTCCCACAAGGCTCCTCTTTATCTCCCACCCTTTTTTCCATCTACATCAATGACCTTCCAATCTCTATTCTACACTGTCAATACCATCTGTATGCCGATGACGTCCAGATTTACCTCTCCTTCAATCCGACCAAATCCTCTGACGCCAACCAAAAATTACAGGAAGATATAAACAGAATTTGTGCCTGGGCAAACCACAATAGGATTACTCTAAACGCCAAGAAGACTAAAGTCATCCTAATTAGATCCCCCTCACTCCCCAATCTTTTCCTGAACAACTCATCTATCTCATTCCATACTTCCGTAAAAAACCTTGGTGTTACCTTCGATCAAACCCTCTCCTGGAAACCACATATCTTCTTAATTTCTTGTCGTACTATCTCTACCCTGAAACAGTTTAACCCTCTCCGCTATCTCCTTCCATATAAATCCCGTCAACTCCTGGTTTCCTCCCTTATGTTCCCCCTTCGGCTATGGCTATCTGGTGTACGGCGGACTCTCGGGAGAATTAGAGGCCAAACTTAAACGCCTAATGAACTGAGCAATACGTTTTGTTTTCGGAATCTCAAGAGATAGGCATATAACCCAGTATTACACCAAGTTGAAGTGGCTCTATCCATCCAACCACCGTCTGTACTTCCTTGCTACCTTTCTATACCAAGCCATCAGAACCTTAACGACCTTCCTATATTTGTCACAGCCTACAATTTAAATATTCCATTCAATCCCGTCCCACTAGATCTCATACTTCCGACCTCTATCCATCTCCTCACCGAACTGCTGCGTTTGACAAATCCTTTACAACTTAAGCCGTCTCCTTCTGGAATACCATCCCTCCCAATATCCGACACGTACAATCAGTTTCCTCATTGAAATCTCTCGTTTTTAAACACCTACTCCTTTCCCAACCCAATTGATCATGAAATGTAGATAAGAAAGCTTTTTAAAGTTCCCTCAGAAATGATTTTGTTTACTTGTTATTTTTTTTTTCATGTTTGTATTATACATATCTATATGTTTTTAGTGTTGTTTTATTCTTTTTCCAATATTTTAATTTTAATGAGAATTGTAAATATTTAATTTAATATATGGCCACAAAGGGATTTTTTCTGTATCTATAACATGTCTTAAAGCGACAACAGTCCCAGGATAATAAAAAAACATTTTATTTTCTTTATTGGTCCTTCTTCTCCATATGTTAGTGCTCAGATCTCACATCACCCATCCTTTATGAGCACCTGATTTAAGATGAAGACCAGACATGAACATGTAGTCTATGACTCTTGCTTGGTGGTAGCCTGTTTACATTTTTGTAGTACAGTTATATCTGATTTAGCAGGGTATTGGATGTTATCTTTTAGGCAACAGGAAGGTGGACTATGCCTCTGTAATTACTACATTCATATATGGAGCTGTTCTTTAGAATAGGATAGATTAGGCCAATGTTCCATGCCTCTGTTATCCTTTCCTCCTCTCTTGTTTTGAGTCTTTCATTAGCTATATCAACGTCCAGTATATCTGGTTTTTCAATCTCAAGTGGGTCAAGGTCCTCAGTGTGGGCCAGGTTTTCTTTGTACATACATTCCTTTTGATCTGCTGGAAATGTTGTAGATAGATAGATAGAAAAAAAAACCTTTATTCTGGGACTAAGTCCCTTTAGAATAACAATATTGTACAAAAGAATAGAATATTACTGGCCTAAAAGTTTGAAACAATAAGTAAAATTGATAAAATAAAATAAAAAGTGAAGAAAACCTTAGGTACACAAGCTATATACAATACAGATAAAACTATGTACATAGCATTTAAAACTATGAACAAAACTAAATATAAGGGTTGAACAACATAAACATACACTTTGGAAAATGAAGAACGAAAAAGAGAAGAGAATGAGTTCATTTCATAAAAAAAACTTTACTTGAATATATATATATAAAAATAAACAGTTAATTATAATTGAATAAAAAAAAAGGATGTATTGAAATTCCTATGTCGGTATATTAACTGTTTTTGGAACAGTAATTGGAATAGGAGGTTTTTGAATGTGTATAGGGAAGGGGCATGTTGAATTTTGATCGGGAGGGAATTCCAAAAGTTAACAGAGCGGGCTATAAAGGAGTTTTGGAATGAGGCAGATCTATGAGAAGGGATGTATAGGTCAGAGGGTCGAGATCTTGTAGTGAGGGAATGGATTGAGGACTTAAATTGGAGAAGGTTGTAGGCATAAGAAGGACGATGATCGGTAATGATTTGATAAAGGAAAGTGCCTAGGAAATATTGTCTTCTTAAGGAGGGGAAGAGCCACCCTAACTCAGTGTAGTGGTGGGAGACACGAGAGCGTCTCGGGGTCCCAATTTCAAATCTTACGAAGCTATTCATAAGTCTTTTTTTTTAGTCTATCACGTAGTTCCACCGAGAGGCCATCATACACCACACAACTGTAGTCAAAGTGGGGAAAGATGAGAGAGGAAACTAGGAGTCTACGGGTATTTTGGGGTAGAAGATGGCGGAAGTAATGGAATAGTTTGAGGGTAGAAATTGCAGGGTGGGAGATATGAGAGATATGGTGATTCCAGGAAAGGGTTTGATCTATGAAAAACCCTAAATTTTTAACAAAGGGGTAGAAGGTGATGGGGTGGTTGTTTAGATAGAGTGAGGGAAAGTTTGTGTGGGATCTAAGAAGGGGATTGGAACCAATGAGAATGGCCTGAGTTTTGGCAGCATTTAGCCTTAATCCATTTAAGTTGGCCCAGGCACTAATTTGATCTAAATCTTCTTGAATTTTGGCAAATGCCACCAATAACTCAGCGGGAGAAAAGGATAAATAGATTTGAGAATCGTCGGCATAAAGGTGGTGGGAACAATGGATGATTGAATCATTTAGGTCATTAATATAAGAGCTGAAAAGAAGAGGAGACATGCTTGAACCCTGTGCAACTCCAGAAGATAAAGGAAGGTAGGCAGATAGAGGTTGATTAGGTATGGAAACTGCTTGGGTTCGTTGTGAGAGGAGAGACTGGAACCAAGAGATGGAACTATTGGAGAAGGATAATGATTTTAGTTTGTTGAAAAGGATGGAATGGATAATGGAATCGGAAGCTTTGGAGAAATCAAGAAGTATAAGTATAGTTAGTTTTTTGTCATCTATTGCAATCTGAATATCACTGCGCAGATTGTTTAATCAGAGCAGATTGTGAAGAGTAGCCAGATTGGAGAGGATCGAGTTGGTTGGATTGTTCAAGGAAGTTGGAAACTTGGGATTGCACTAACCTTTCTAGGGGTTTCGAAAGATTAGAAAGAATTGATATTGGGCGGAAATCTTCGGGAGAGGATGGATTAGGCTTTTTGTTTAAAGGAAGGACAATGGCTTTTTTCCAAGAGGTCGGGAATATTGAATTCTGCAGAGAGAAATTGTAGATGAAAAGGAGAGCTGAGAGGATTTCAGAGAGACATAATTTTATTAGTTTGATAGGAATGCCATCTGGGCCTACGGAATTGGAACGAGATTTCATTATAATGGTAATAAGGTCTGTGGGAGAAATGTCGGAAAAATAAAAATTATTGTCCTTAAAAGATACCTCTGGAGAAAAGCCGGAAGGGGAGGGTAAAGAAGAGGTGGAAACCGATATAAAGTGGGAGTTTAGGTCATCAGGTGATATTGGGAAAACTGAGGATGGGGATATATAAGGTTCACAGAGGGAAAGCTTACAAAGTAGAAGCCATTTTGATTTGATATCAGGAGCTGAGGAATGGGCTTCATGAAAGTAGTTTGCTTTCGCTTGTCGGATCCTTGTCTGTGTCGTGTTACGAAGCACTCTGAATGTTTGATAATCATCTGAAAGCCTAGTCCGTCTAAAGTGTCTGCATGCAGCGTCGCGTTTCTTCTGCAGATCCTTAATTTCCTGTGTATTATAGATATATGTATCTAATTATATATTTCTTTTAATCCCTTCAGAATATCATCTTTTTCTCGAATTTGCATATATCTTGCTTTATATCTCCACTATGCCAGATGTCCTCAATGGTTTATTTGAGGAATTTTCTTTTGGCCAACCTTATAATTTGTTTATCTTTTTCTTGACTGCTATATAATTGTCCAGGGTAGCTTGAATGAGTTTTGGCTGGGAAGAGGACTTTCACTTACCTTGTTTCCTCCTCTTGTTTTTTCGCATGCTTCTGTGAACCATTTCTTAGCTTTTCATCTCTTCTGAATACTTATTACTTCCTTAGCTGTTTCTTTTAGCCCTTTCTCAATTACTCCCCTTTGTTGGACTTTATATCATAAAATTAATTAAACAATGAAGTTATTATTATTTACTTTTTAAATATAAATTTTGTCCTATTAACTTCTGTTTATTACTATCTGATAGTAAAATTTACCTTCATTTATGTGCTAAATTTTTTGTCAATTATTAAATTATTAATATTCTTTTATCAAGAGTCTCATTGCTAGTAAATTAAACCCTTTTTTTGTTACCTGAAATATTTTTGAGAACTCTGTGTCCTAAGCTTGAAATCCAAAAACATTTCCCCTAAAGTTATCATTCAGTAGTTTTCACATTTTTATAATAGATTAAAAGTTTCTCTTTGGTTATGAATATTTGTTGATTGTTTAATGTTATCTCTGATATTTTTTCAACATTTGTTTTAATAAAGGTATGATGCATTTGGTTTTCTGAAAACTTATGATGTATTGGCTTAAATATCCAAAATTATAAATGGCTCAAGCCATCTTGTTATTATTTTATACAAACAATTTTTTTTTCTTTTGTATTTTTCAGCCAAGGCATTCCACCAAACTGTTAAGTGTTATTCGACAAATGCCTCACAGAAATGGTCCAGATGTATTTTTTAGTTTTCCAGGCAAAAAAGGATCAGTAAGTATTGCTTAAAATTTCATACAGTTATATTTTCAAAATATTAAATATTGATTTGCTCATCAAAGTACTCATTCAACATGATTATTTAATGGCATGGCAAGAATATTTTAAGATAAAGTAGTAATAAAAACTTTAAAATTTCGATCAAATTCTTAATATTGTACTTTTTGTATGAGGATGATGACGTCATGGCCACACAAGAGCAAGGGTCCCGAAGTGTCCTGTTCAGAACATTGTGGGTCCATTTCCACCTGTGTCTACTAATATTCATTTCGCGGCTACCCCAAAAAATGAATCTTGGTACTCCCTCTTTGGTTAGAGCATGGCAGCAACGTCTATTAGCCATCAGGGGTTGGTAAAAAGGATCACAAGGTCCACTTGCTGTACTAGTCTCCTCCCCCCCTCACCAGTACCATTTTTGTGTAAGCATGACACAAATGTTCGGGTGTTTATTTAATTATATTACCTATCACTTATTTTTCTTTAGTTAATTCTACTTTAGTCAGGAGTATTTTAAATTTAAATTTTATGTACATTTAATATTTGGGAAGTAAGCCAAGAAAATTATTATAATTAAATGAATGAGGAAATCTAAAATAAGTCTTATAATTTAGTATATTTATTGTTTTCTTAATTTGATATAAAAAATATAAGCAATCAACTGTAATAGTTGCTATAGCTTAAAAGTTACTATATATTTTATCTTTATATAAGTAGAAATATAATTTTGTTTTCCGTGTTTTTGCAGGCTCTTGTTTTACCTCCACTAGCTAGGTGGCCTTATGAAAATGGTTTTACTTTCACTACCTGGTTTAGATTAGATCCTATTAATTCTGTAAACATAGAAAGAGAGAAACCTTACCTGTATTGGTTAGTATTACTGTGCATGTTTATTTTTATTTACATTAAAAAATAATCGTCAAACTTATATTTATAATTTCACATTCTTTTCAGCTTTAAAACTAGTAAAGGTATTGGCTACTCGGCACATTTTGTAGGAAACTGTTTAGTTTTAACATCCATGAAAATTAAAGGAAAGGGCTTTCAGCATTGTGTTAAATATGAGTTTCAACCTAGAAAGGTAATAATTAATTTCTCTAAAGTAAGACAATTCTTCATGATTAATCATATTATTGGTTTGTGGTTCTTCTTGGAGAATGGATTTCAGTTTACTTATTAAGGCTTTGAATGCAGATTGAAATAGAGTAAAGGATCAGTAACTTTCTGATCTAAAGTATTGTGATTTGATTTCTATTATTTGAAAAGGATGGCATTTACTTTTTTTTTTTAATTGAATATATGGTGTATAATATAATGCAAGGACATATAGATAATTTAATTTTTGATGACTTAGTTGCAATGAGAGAAAGGGAACATTTCAATAAATAGCAACCAGTTTTTTTTTTACTAGAACTAGTCTTTGCAATGACACCTTAAATAACCACACTTAAATTTTAATTTATATTTAAAATTGTTGTCAAAATAATCTTTAAAACAGCTTTTTAAAGAGTTTTTTATGAATTTTGATTATACTACATTGTGTATGTCATTGGCATTATTATTTTTTAAAAATATATTTGTTTAATTCATAATTCTTCATTCTTAAATATAAAAAACAAGATATATTGTGATTTATAGTTTTAAAACTAATTTTGATCTTTTTAATGGTTGATGTCAATGTTTAATACTTAATTTTAGTGGTACATGATAGCAATTGTGTACATTTATAACCGGTGGACAAAAAGTGAAATTAAGTGCCTTGTTAATGGACAGCTAGCTTCCAGTACTGAAATGGCTTGGTTTGTTTCTGCTAATGAGGTAATAATTCAGTTTTTTTTTAAACTGTGATCTGTTGAAATTTTATGTTCGGCTTTTTAAACAATTATGGTTTATGATTTTATTCCAGCCTTTTGATAAATGTTATATTGGAGCTACACCAGAGCTTGATGAAGAGAGGGTGTTTTGTGGTCAAATGTCTGCTGTGTATCTCTTCAGTGAGGCATTATCAACACATCAAATCTGTGCCATGCACAGACTTGGTCCTGGATATAAAGTATGTGTAATTGCCAAGTTGTTATTGACAACATTTATTTTATAAATAATTATTCTAATTTTCTGTTGTTGTTTTTTTAAGTTATATTTGTTCCCATGGATCTTCATCCATGATTATATTTTTCTTAATAAAAGTCTATTTTCAGAGTCAGTTTCGATTTGATAATGAATGTCATCTAAGTTTACCTGAAAACCACAAGAGGGTGAGTGATGAGTCTTCTGATCAACAAAGCACGTCACCTGTGATTTCTGTAAGATATATTTTTGATCACCAAGCTGCCTTTTATTAATCGTATGGAATTTTAAATTAACAATAACTATAAACCGTGTTCTATTAATCATAATAATTACTGTTATTGAAGTTAACTCTATGTGATTAAATTAAAACATATATTTGGATAATCAATTTTTTAAATTTGATTTTATCCTGCTTTACTAATGAATCATAATTGCATTAAATGTTCTTTGAGTTTTTTGTTTTATTACTAACCATTTTATTAAAATAATATTTCAAAATCACTTACTTATTTTTTTAGTGTCATATTTTTATTACTTTTTTAATGTTTCATTTTGTTTTAAGGTTGCGTAATTGAAAACAAATCATAACGATAATAATAGAGAATACTAGATAGTTAATAACACATAATTAAAATAGAAAAAGAAAAATATTTCAATTCTTCCTTTAATAAAAAAAACCTTCACGTGTTTAGTATAATTTTATTGTATTTTTTGAATGATACAATTAACCACATAAAAATCTTAATCAATATCATAAATGTAAATTATATCCACAATTATTATATTTTTAAGAATTATTGGGTTGTCAGGAAAATAATGCAGTATTTTGGTTTTAAAAGGAAGATTTACAACTGTTTTATTTAATCAAAATAGTCTCCACATTTATCAATACATTTCTGCCAACCTGCTGGCAACTTTTCCGTTCTCTCGGAATAGAATTGATAAACTCCAAGAACGCATTTTATAATTTTCTCTGTCCATTAAATTTTTTGTCGCGTAAGTAGTGGTCCAGGTGTTAAAAAAATGATGTCCGGAGGGCAGAGTTTCGTATTCAAGCTCCAACAGTTTTTGTGATGTCACACGTGAGACATGTGACCGGGCTTTGTCATGAAACAAAATGGACTCCTTCCATTTAACCAAAGATGACTTCATTATTGCCAATTTCTGATGCATTGCATTAATTTGGTTACAATATGATTCGTCATTGATGGTTTCTCCAGGATTTAAGAAGCTGTAGTGTATCAAAACAAATGAAGCACACCAAACACTAACCATCACTTTTTATTGATGAGTTGTGGGCTTTGCAAAGTATTCTGCTGCTTCTCCTTTGTTGAGCCACTGTCCAGAATGTCTGCTGTTATCGTAAGTATGCACTTTTCATTAAAAGTGAAAATTCAGGACAGAAAAGGATCGTTTTTGTTTCGGCAAAAAAGTATAGCACAATCTTCATAACGCAGGGTTTTTTGGCGGTCGTTTAATGTGTGTGGAACCTAACTTTCAAACTTTTTTACCTTTTCAATCGCCTTGAGGTGTCATCAATGGTCGATTTGCTAAAGTTAAGTTTTCCTGCAAGTTCTTGAATAGTTGTTCTTGGATTTTCTTCCCTATTTTTTGAACCACTGTTGAACAGTGCACTCATTAATGCTGCTCTTGCTCCAGATTTGATTGACGTTTCTGGTCGTCTGGGCGCCATTCTGGCCGATTTTAAACTCGTAAACTAAAAATCACTCGTTGACATCTTAGTAAAGACTGAATTATTTATAAGCAGCGAAATGCTACAGAGATAAAGAAACATTATCGTTTTGAATAGGATTAATAAGTGTTGACATTCATACAAATGAATAATCTAATAAACGTAAACAGTTAGTTATATAGAGGGGTATTTTAAATAAAACTCAAAATCCTGCATTATTTTCCGGACAACCCAATATAAGAAACATTAAAGTTTGTGAGGAATATTCCACTTATATTGTTTGATGTCTATTCAATTTGTTTGATTCTGATTTATTCATGTTTTATGATTCTGATTATCAGCTTTAACAATTTTTAAAATAATTGCTTTTATTTTTCTAATAAATTTTATGAAGTTCATCTTCTTAGTTACATGTCTAGTGTATCTTTTAAACTATTTCTTAATCTATTGATTTAATCATTCACAAATTTCACATATTGTTTGATAGACAATAAGAAAAGCTTATTTACTAATTAATCTTGAAATAGTTGCAATAGAATAACTCCTAAATACTCATTTCCAATGCTATACCCTTTCTGCTAATCCCTCAGAAGTGGTGCATTATAAAACAGCCTTTTTTTTGTTTTAATTATTGCTGTTATTGATAATGCAATTGAAGTCTTAGTAGTATCATGAAACGTATTAGTCTCTGTTAAGAAAAATATTTAAACACGAAACAGTAGTCTGAATTAAAATATAAACTTTAAAAAATCATCAATAGATTAATACAAATAAAGGTTCATAACATTTCAGTTTGTAAATATATCTGTGAACTTGAAATTTCTTTTTTATCCCTATTTTTAGACATACTAATAGATTTAATTCTGGTAATAAATTTTAAACATTCAGATTTCCACAATAGTTTTTTATTATATAGATAACTTTATATAAATAATATGAACTTTAATATACCATAAGTTTATTTTATTTTTAAAATATTTTTTGCTGCTAAAATTTTTCATAAATTCTAATTTTGATTGATTTGGAGAAGCATAACAAAAAGATGACAGAAGGTTTGCAAAAAATCCTTTACTATAAAATAATAATTATTTTTCTTTATTTTTCAGTATCGACAGTTTATGGAATCACTTTGTTTTATCAATACCTGCTATTTCACTTATTACATTAGGAATATTTAAGAAATATAAACAAATATAAATGTATCAAAAAGGTAGCCTGGTGATAAATTGTGATGAATGGCCTCGTAGTTTATTACTGTTTATGTTGATTATTCTTTGATTGTAGTTCGTTTAGTTATCTTTTTATAAATGAAATTAAGCACTTTATTTTCATACTTTAAATTACTTTTAGTAATTGAGATTTAGCATGTGCTCCTTTTTGTGTTTGCTTGTGATTGTTGTTTTTCAGAATCAATGTCTGTTGTATGATATTTTTTTGATAGTATGTTTTTATCTGTATTTGTTTTTCTTTTTTTTTTTCTGTTAAATGCATGGTCTTATATTATTTCCACACGGAATGCCTTTAGAAATAGTTTTCATTACATGGATGCTTCTTCGGTGTTACTGCAAAATGTTTATAATGGTGATATAGCTGATTGTAGATGGAATCGAGAAGATGATGGATAAGGAGTCAGAAATGAATCCTGCTATAATTAGTGGCGGTACCTGTGGGAGAAGGGGTCAGAGGGTTCATCCAGCTTTTATTCGTACTCAATTATAACTTAATAAAAAACAAAAAATTACACGTATTTTTGTTCGAAATCAAACAAGGAGAACATCATAGTTTTTAATGTAACTTTTTTTTCTTTTTCTTTGGGTGGCCTCACAAATAAATCCACTTTGTGTCTCAATTGGTCTATGTATGCCTCTAACAGTAATTTAATTTGATGTTTGATTTATGACTTGACAGTACATCACATCGCTGTATATTTCACTTCCCACGATACTCCTAACCATCATTTTGAAAAATAATAATATTATAGATTTTTTAAATACAATTTTTTTTTATGGTAGGAACTTAGTGTGTATTTTAATTTTTTAAGCTTCTGGGCTGATTCTGATTCTGAGAAATTGGTGATTTAATTAAGTTTTTAGTTATATTCAGTGTATGCAATATAAATTGGCCCAAATGCTACATGCAGCCAAACAGATGATTTAATCGTAAAAACTCCAGAGAAAATAGTTTAAGTTTAACTTATATAATTTCAAAAAGTTAAATTGCTTTTCAACTTTTCCCTGACACATGCAGCTGATGAGTGGTGAAAACTTAGGATTTACTAATAACACCTAACTTTAAATACTCTCATTTATAGTCATTAAAAAGTTATATGAGACCCGCAAAACCCATTTCAATATCTTTACACTTGAAGAATATATGCTATTTTAGAATCCTCTATTCTCAACATCACTATTCTTCAGGTCTCTCACGATTTTCAATTGAGTTACTGATATTCACGTGGTTTTTTCCTGAGTCCAGTAATGAAAATTGGATCTATTCAATGACCCATTACTTGCATATTTGACTCACCTTTAAAGAGAACCCTAAAACAGAAGTTCTTGTCTTACAACTTTTGGATGGCTTGACTACAAAATGTTAGTTTGTGTTGCTTATATTTTGTTTAAAGAACCTGATGAATTAAAATTTGGTATGGATAGTACCACAGATATTGTAATGTTCAGTGTGTTGTACCTTAAGGTATTCTCTGTTGATTAGAAATCTGATAGACACCAATGTTAAAAGTCAGTTCTTCCTGTCTATGTTCTTCCTGTACACTAGCTTGATTGCAATGTTTCTTATACTTTCGCTTGCATTTTAAACTCCCTGATCTGGCATTTCTAACTACCCTTAGTATTGTTTAATGAGGTAGCTTCTTCCCCATTTGTAAATAGGTAGAAAAGGTAAAAGGTTTCAACACGAACATGTGGGTCATCAACAGGGCGTCTTTCGAGCATTGAAGGTATTAAGTATTTGAATACCTTCAGTGCTCAAAACACATCCTGATGATGACCCACATGTTTGGGTTGAAACGTCGGCACTAATAAAAACTTTATAATGACTACGTCCTGAATATTTATCACCCATGATATGTAGAACAGTCGACTAACTTCCTCCAATGTATAAACTTTTGATACCTACATACTTATCTTCTTTTTGTTTTCTGTAATGCAACGTAAACATAATTATTTATTATATCAAGCTCGCTATTGCATTTCAATTGTAAAATAATTATTTCTTATTCATTTTTCAATTATATTAGTCTCTAACTTTTAATTTGACTTACAAACACTGCAGTTATTTTCCATGAAATATGTTTTGGATACACAGCAGTTCAAAATTGTTTTTTGTATCATTAATCGGAATTCAACAATATGTTGGAGACTGGGATTTACCGATTTGAATGGGATAGAGGAGGAAAGTTATTAACACTGCTCCAGAGCTCTTCTTACCTAGTTTTGCCCCTATAATTATGGTAGTGAATGAGTTATCATTAGCTTCTTGTTTTTCTAACTTTTTCGATGGTTCTCAGAGGTGAATATCTGTCAATATTTGGTGAAAGGGATTATTGTTAAGTTCGTTTTTGATAAGCCAGGAAGAGGATTAAGATAATAAATAGTTTAGTGATCCTAAATTATTGTATTTTATTTATTTGATAACCTCACAAAAAGAGGTTATTAATTATTATTGTCTTTAGGTACTTCTAAAAGATATATTTATCTGTCTCAAAGTATTGTTGCTGAAATATTTATCTTCTTACATTTTTATTTTATAATACTAACCATATAAATAATACACATTTCCAGGTACTTTATGATGGTAAACTTTCAAGTGCTATCGTTTTCATGTATAACCCTGTGGCTACTGACAGCCAACTATGTCTACAGTCAGCTCCTAAAGGAAACACTTCATATTTTGTCCATACTCCTCATTCTTTGATGTTACAGGTAAACTTGAAATTATTCAGTACAACCTAGTTTGTTTAAACATAATTTGAAGTAGTTAATTTTAAGAAGTTTTTGTAGAATTATTTCAGGTTATTGTAGAATATGGATTTCTTGTATAAAAAAGTTCAGAGTAGTTTTATTTTCATTATTTTGTATGAAAAGTATAATGATAACATAGGATTTATTTTAAAATAGGTAGAAAACCTTCTATGTAAGTAAAACTTTCTATCATAAACACTGTCAAATATGGATTGTTATTTTTTAAAATTTAAAATTCTATGAATAAATTTATAAAGAAGTCTTAATAAATATAGTTCAATCAATTCTGCTTATTTGCTAGAGATCTCTGTCCATTGCCACAAAAGTATTTTAATAATCCTCTACAACTGTAATAAAAGCCCACAGCTGCTTTCATTGTTAATGCATAAGTAAAAATGACAAATAGATACCAATATATAATCTAAATATAGCTTGTGTATTTGTAATCACAATTTAGAACTTCTTGACTATATACATCTGTTAAGTGTAATGGCTGATATAATAAGATTTGTTAAATAAAGGTTATGTGCATACAATAATAATAATAATAAAAGGCTTGGCGAACCTGAAGGTTTGATGCCGACACCATCAATCACTTATTACACACCTCCCTCCACCAGTTTCTGTCTATTGTTACCTACTCCATCAATTTTATTGGGTTGTCCAGAAAATAATGCAGGATTTTGAGTTTTTTTAAAATACCCCTCTATATGAAAAATTTTTACATTTACTGGATTATGCATTTGTATAAATGTCAACACTTATTAATCCTCTTCCAAATGATAATGTTTGTTTACCTCTGTAGCATTTTGCTGCTTAGAAATAATTCAATCTTCACTAAGATGTCAACATGTAATTATTGTATAATTTTGTTTTACGAGTTTAAACTCGGCCGGAATGGAGCCCAGACAGCCAGAAACATCAATGAAGTCTGAGGCGAAAGCAGCATTATAATGAATAAGATTAGATTCTTTCCATTCTTCAGACAATTTCTCATTCTCCCAGATCTTTTTAACCAACAAATGTATTTTAGAAACTCTAGCTTCCTCTTATGCCTTAATGAGTTCTCTAGGAATATTATCATTCCCCACTGCTTTATATGATTTTAATTTTCTGGTAGATACTTCAACTGCCTCTTTACTCGGTTTGAGGAATACTAATGTTAACCCACCTGCTGAATTCAAACTCCTTATGTTCCACGAACCAATACCTCAATCCCTACTTTTCAACTTCCTCCATGAATCCCCTAAAGCAGTCTCCACCCAGGCACCTGAGCAAGGGACTAGTTTACCTCCAGATAATGAGCATTTACTTAGGGAGACCCATGACTATTTATGGTGTATGGTAAACTAAAGATATGTAAGTAGGATGTTCAATCCTACATCACACCAGCAAGTCTGGAGGGCCTCCTTCTTATTGTTGTTCAGCGAGTCCATCTAACTACCTGGTAATGAGTCTGCACGATATATATATATATATTTTTTTTTTCTCTTTCTTTTTTTTCTGGAACAGATTGTTTCCTAAAAATTACATAATGAATATATAAATTAGATAAACTAGTTCTATAATTATTAACTCTAAATTGATATATACTTACTATATGAAACTAGGTTCAAAGCTTTATTGCTATAAATAGGTTAAGAATCGCAAAAGGAAGTTGTAATAAGTTGTTATTGTAGTTGTAAAGTTATTATTACTAAAGAAAGAAGTGCCAGAGGTATGTGAGTACTTATGGATACTAGCAATAAATCTTCTTATTAATCTAATGCTTTAATTTTTTTTCAACTTCATTAAATAGTTTCCCGTACACTCAAACACTTTTGTTAAAGAGGGGGTAATACGAAGGATGCAAGAAGCTGTCAATTATTAGGTGGCTAGGAGTCATAGGTTATGAAGAACTGTTAAAGGAATATTTGTTAAATTAAGTTTTGTTTTACTTATAAATAAAAAACAGAAAAGTGCTGAGATATTTTTTTATTTCTGCATCTTTAAGCTTCTTATGTTCGAATATTGTCTCTACCTAATAAAATATAATGTTAATGTCTTATAATCAATAAAAAATATATACCGATTATTCTTTCTCAAGTTCTATAATAAACCATTTAAACTTATTTCCTCATGATCATGGCCAATTTATTGCTTAAACAAATGTTTTGATCATATTTGGAAACATAGAAAAAATACTGAATACAATAGATGAATTCAATTTGAAGAGTTTTTAATTTTTCCTTGAAATTTCAAAACCATGCAATGTTGTTTTAAATTATATAATAAATGTTTAAGTTGTATTTTGTGTTTTCCAGGATGTTAAGGCTGTGATAACTCATTCTATTCATAGTACACTAAACTCTGTTGGTGGAATACAAGTGCTGTTTCCGTTATTTTCTCAGTTGGATATGCCATATGATTCTGTTGATAATAGGAGAGACCCTACATTATGGTTAGTCAAGTATATTGAAGAAGTATTGGAACTTTTTATTTTGTTTTTAATTTGATTGTCATTTCAAATTAAATATCTTTTATTACAACCTGTTTTTAAACCATGCTTATTGAGGTAGTTTTGATATATGGAAAAAAACACATAAAATGAAAACATGACTTGAAATAAATATTTAAAATATAAGAACAGAAAATATATAACAAATCAATACAGCAAAATAACATGAAAACGAAAATAAAATATGAAACTGTGACTACTAAGTTAGACCTAATAGTATCCATTCCAACTTCATATGATAATAAATATCAAACATATTGTAAAATAATTTCTTATAGTATTTAATATTATAAAACTTATATTTAATGTGAAATAGTTCAGAAATTCATTAAAGGATTAGTCAAATTCATGAATGATGCCACAGTAAACAATTCATTGAAGTACTATTTTATGAATTTTAGAGATGATATTAAATAAAAAGTATTCATCAACTTACTTGGCTTTACTCAGACAAAACGTAATTTCCACTAAATTGTCATAGGGATATATATCTGTCTTTTCATCTATACTCTTAATGTTTTCTTATCTCTTCACTGTTGTCAGTGGGTGAATATAATTTTGAACAAACCCTGTCCATCTGTCATAGTTTGCCTATACGCTCATACTAATTCATCTATCTAAGAATATATTACTCAATTTTTAGCTTCATGTCTGAAGTCCCCGAGGCTCAAGGCTGCTTAAAGAAGAATTTCATTTAATATTTCAGAGATTGACAAAAGTGTGTACAAATTACCCTAAATTTTGAGTCTTAATAAAAGGAAAAGTATCTGAACCCTTCTAAGTTCAAACTGGCTTATGTCAGAGAGATGGACTTTAACTGTATTGTAATCCTGAAAGATTCCAAGAAATCTCAAATTAAGGGTGTACAATGGTATGATAAAACCAGTTCTGATATATAGCTGTGAGACCTGGACACTAATGAGCACCCTAGAAAGAAGTTGTTGAAAGATTTGAAAGAAAAATCATCTGCACGATAACGGGAGTGATCTGGGATCAGAGTAATTAGGAGATGGACCAATAACGAGCTGCTTACAGAAACTTGTCAATCAATATCTCATGATATGAAGGCAAGGAGGTTTAGATTAGCAAGCCATTTTTCTTTGTCTGTCTTGTACTTAGTTGGTTTAATGGAAGCAACTTGCTGAAATTGAAGGATTTAATAGACAAACTTATTCCTCTCCATATAATCCAATAGGACATCAATTGTGGAAAACCCATTGTTGGTAGGAGTTATTAACTTCTATTACCTTGAAGCAATTAACAATGGGAGTGAAATTTTAGATTGGTTCAATTTACGATGTTTCTTGCTGTAAATGGTTTCTAAAATAATCAAAAAATGTAAAAGAGAACTTAAATTTTACTAAAAATGAGAAAGCAATGTGAAAACATTAAATAAATAAAAGTATATTAGTGTGGGGAAATAAAAAACGAGAGATGTCATCTCATTATAAGACTTATCAGTTATTTTATTTTATTTATATCAGTTACTTATTTTATTTTCCTTTGTTTAGTATATATATATATATATATATATATATATATATATATATATATATATATATATATATATATATACAGTGATGGAAAAAAGTATTTGCATATTTTTTATGAATAAATGAGTTCAAGGAACCAAAAAACTTCGCTTTCCTCTGCAAAAATGAAAAGTACATTTGTTAAAAACTGAGAAAAATCTTTTGGAAAAAATGACAACTCTCCATAATGAAACAAAAAAATTAAAACAATAAAAGTGCTTGGAAAAAAGTATTTGCACACTATGACTCACAAGCTCTGTTTACTTTGGCATTAATCCTCCTGTGTCCATAGGTCATAGGTTTGTTTACTAATTTATCTCTAATCGTTTATTACCAGTATTCTCTAGTCTTTTAATCAGTTTCCTTTAGTCAATAGACAATTATCATGCCAAAGACAAGTGAACTGTGTGCCAAAACTTGCGAAAAAATTGTTTTACTGAGGAGTAAGCAAAAAACATATCGTCAAATTGCTGATTTCTTAGGGTTGAATTTTTCTACAGTGAGATATGTCATAAAAAGGTATGAAGAACGTGGTTCAACTGAAAACAGTGAGCGTAAAGGGTGTCCAAAAAAGTTAATTCCCAGGCTGAAGAGGAAAATCAGAAAAGAAGCTCTTAACAATCCTCTTATAAGTTCTCGGGAGCTGGCTACCATGGTCCAATCAATGTCTGGAGTTCAGATTACTAGCAGAACAATTAGATATGCCCTGAATACGGAAGGGCTCCATGGTAGAGTTCCAAGAAAGAAGCCATACATCAGTGAAACGAATCGCAAAAAGCGCCTTGCTTTTGCTTGGGAGTACGTACAGAAACCCTTAAGCTTTTGGGACGTGTTGTGCAAATACTTTTTTCCATCACTGTATATATGCTTTTGTTTTGTTCTTGTTTCTTCCTATATTTTTATTTTTAATTAGATATTATTTTGTAAATATTTAATTTAATGTATGGCCACACAGGCATTTTCTCAGTATTTATACTTTGTTCTAAAGGGACAACAGTCCCAGGATAATAAAAATATTTTCATTTCATTTCATCAGGATCAGAATTATTAGAATCAGGGATAGTGTTATGTCCAAATCCGTGGTATATTAATGAGCCATGTTCTAATGAGGATCCACTGTACTTATTTTGCCCAATTTTCATTTAAGACCATTACCTTAGGATAATATTTATTTTTAAAACTTTGCATTTTAGAGAAAATTTCAAATTATATATATTTTTTAAAAATTAGTATTGAAACATGCAGAATATTTTAATCTTTTTTTCTTTATTATCATTACAATTATGTTGTTTCAGTTCCAAATTGCTTGGTTTTATTTGTGAACTTGTAGAAAGTTCACCCACTGTCCAACAACATATGATACAGAACCGTGGCTTTCTTGTAATTAGTTACATGCTTCAGCGATCATCTCGAGACCATCTTACTCTTGAAGTATTAAGCTCTTTTTTAGGATTGACTAAATATTTAGTCACTTGTCTTTGTGCAAATAGTGAACTACTGCTTAAACAAGTAAGTTTATTATGAATATACTTGAAAAATTGCATTTATATAATTAAATTTCAAAAATTGTATTAATATAATTAACTTTGTACTACACTTCTTTAGATATTATGATGTTTCTTATCTATATTTTAACCTTTTAGGCTTTAAATCTTGATCAGATTTTTCATGTAATTATATTTATATTTTTCATTCTACATATTTGATGTAAGAAAAATTTAGAATTGTTTGAAAATTCAATAATTTGATTAATTTTGCTTGAAACACAAAAGTTCAGAATATTCACGAAAAAATAGATAATTATTCCTATTTGCTTGAAATTTACTACTAGGAGATTTATGGGGTAGAAAAAGCCTACTTTTAGGTCATATTTCAAAAGTGAATAATGTTCTACTGAGTTGAATAAATGATATCCTCTCCCATCTTTAAAAGGGATGATAAAATTTTTAACTTTTAAGTTTTAATTCACTAAAAAGAATTAGAATGTTTGGTCCTGTAGCATTAATTAAGGTCATCGGTTGATAAGATTAATTAAATGATGAAATTCAAATAAAAACCGAAACTTTTAGCTAAAAAATAAAATATTCAGGATGACAACCTCTTTTTGTCACCTTATAATTTATGTATCTTTCCATTGATAAAGTTTTTTTTCTAATTATATATTGAATCTTGTTTTGTTTTTTTAAAGTTAAGTATACTTTTTGGAAGTTAATAAATTTTATTAAATAAAATTTATTGAATCCTACTTCCTAACTTCTATATATTGCAATTTTTTTTTATGACTGATGTTTTTTTAGTTATTGGATCACATACTGTTTAATCCAGCCCTTTGGATATACACTCCTGCTGCAGTACATACAAGATTGTATTCTTATCTTGCAACTGAATTTCTTGCTGATACTCAAATTTATTCAAATGTGCGAAGAGTTTCAACTGTTTTGCAAACTATACATACACTCAAATATTATTACTGGGTGGTTAATCCTAGAGCAAAGAGTGGGATAACACCTAAAGGTTTAGGTAAAGATTTCTATTTATTGGTAAATTACTTACAATATGATGAAAAGGTGATATTTTGAGTGAATTATTTGTCATTAACTGAAATTGGTCTTGAAGTACATCCCTTTAAATAATAATATTAAAAATGAATAAATTATTAATATTTAAAAAATAAAATGTTAATTTATCATTGTAATTTCATAAATACTTTATATCAATATATAATATGATCAACATCTTTTACTTTTCTTTAGATGGACCTAGACCAGCCCAAAAGGATATTCTTGGAGTACGGGCTTACATATTGATTCTTCTGAAACAGTTAATGATGGGAGGTTCAGGTGTAGTTCGTGAAGACGAATTGCAAAGTGTACTGAATTATATCTCTACTGTTCATGAAGATGAGAATTTGCATGACGTAGTTCAAACATTAATTTCTCTTTTATCTGAACATCCTGCAGCAATGGTACCAGCCTTTGATGCTAAACATGGAGTACGCTGCGTGTTTAAGCTCTTGGCATCACAAAGCCATCTAATCCGACTACAGGCATTGAAGTTACTTGGCTTTTTCTTAAGTAGATCTACTCACAAGTAAGTTAACTTTATGTATGTGTTTATGTATATTTTTTTTCCTAATGATTTTGAGGTTAATTTTACTAAATGAAAAATATATTTTAGAATCATTTTGAAACGTTACGGTTCTCATATTCATGCCCTAATATGAAAAAAATTACAATTTTAGAACATTTTTCAAATATAATTTTTATTCACTAAAATTACTAACAATCATAATGCACTTTAACTATTGAAATATCTTGAGAAAATAAAAATTGACACACAAAATTTTGTTCTGAATTTCGTATTATTGATTGTTTTAATTAATATTTACTTTTATAACATCCATTTTTTTTAAGTTAATTGAAATTAAATTATTTACACTTCAATGTTATTACACCATTTTTGAGTGAATGATAAAAATTATTATGATTTTTTTTTAGAGATTTATTTAAGAAAGATGAAATATGATTTGATGTTATAATTTAGTATTGTTTTAGCTTTAACTTGAAAGTAGTATTACAACATTCATCTTGAATTTTATTTGTTTTTATTTTTTTTATATCATTAGATTTTTTTCATCTAATTCCTTTTCTGTTCATCATTTAACAGGAGGAAGTATGATGTAATGAGTCCTCACAATCTGTATACTCTTTTAGCAGAAAGAATTTTATTGAATGAGGAAACACTAACTTTACCCACTTATAATGTTCTATATGAGGTTTGTATACATATTTTAATTGTGGCCTTCCTATTTGCATCTATATTACTAATTTTTCTGTTTTGTAATTGTTATTTGGTAAATTAAAAAAAATTGTTAAACTTGGTATTATTATATTTTTTTATTATCTTCAATTAAATCAAATTTGATAACAATCCATTAATTTTTAAATCAAACATTCATGTAAGATAATAATTTTTTTACAATGCATTTTCACTGCCTCTTAATACATTTTTTTTTATATTTTTAAAATTTTGTTCTGATGCTGCTCAGTTTGAACATATAGCTTGGTTTAGTCTGTCTTAGCGTTGCTTATTTGTGTTCTTGTTAAATCTGTTAACAAGGGAATTCCCTTTTTATCTACGCACCATATAATGGGTGCGAACTCTCACTAGGGCATGTCAATATGTCAAGCTATTATTATTATTTTTTATTTATGCTTATAATAAATGAAAAGACTATGAAATATATATTTTTTCGTTGATTTATATATAAAGCACAAAGGAAAATACAAAATTACAAACAAATAGAAAAGAATACCAACAAAAAAATGGAAACATTGAATTAAAAAATTTCAAATTTTACAAACCATTTGATAAGATTACAAGAAATGTTGAGACATGTATGGATGACTAATACTTTTGCTGTTGGAAAATATACGTCCATTCCAGGGTGTGACATATATTTCAAGGACGTATTCATATATCCTACCCATATCCGCTATTGTTTACATTTGATGTATTTATGCGTCACACTTGGTTATCAGGTTAATAATGTTGACAATATATTTATATATTTTGTGAGAACACTTTGAATTTTCACCTTGCAGAAGCCAGTTGCCACCTAATACCTGCATTGGTTGTTTAATGGTTACAAATATTGGGTACTAATTGGTAGCTGTCAGAAATGAAGTGTATAAGCTATCCTAATGGTTCCTAATGAATCTGTGATGATTGATTACCTTCTGCAATTGGGTACTTGCATGAAAAAAAAAATGGGTAAATTTGAAATTCAATAGAATTCAAGTGAAAGAACATATGTAAGATTGAGATCACAGTTTTTAAATAGTAAAAAAAGGTTCATATTTAGCTAAAAAACTTGAAATAACAGTGTCTCAGATGTGTGATGGGGGATATGCTTTGAGCCCATTATGGCATGTGTACAGCTACCAAACATGATACATTTTAACATCTCTCTGCTCTAGTTTATAAAAATTCATTTATAAAAGCTAACGAAATAAATTTTTATTCATACACGAGTATGAAAAAAAAAAACTGAAAGATATGTCTCAGCTGGGAGTTTTGAAGCTGGAAACATTATTCTAAGCTAAAAATTTTAAAATAATGGTATGAGCTAGGTGCTAGCATGCCATGGCAAAGCCCTGTTTCCGCTCATGTGATGTAGTTCTGTCCCCACCATTTTTCTTAAATGGCAAATATCTTTGCAAAAATATATCAGAAGAATTTGGGAGTTCTTGCAGTTTTGTTGTTATTATCTAACTAACTTTCATCGATGAATAAGTATTAAAAATCCACACAAGTACCAGATTATGTAAGTAGATCAATATTTCTAGAGATTGTTCTTGTTAGTCCAAAAACTATTTTTTGTAATACACTTGGTTATTACAACCATCTTTCATAATGATATTAAAATTTTGAATCTTTTCCCAATAAAAATGTTTTCCATTTTTTACACTATCGATGGTAGGCAGTTTTATGCAACAAAATTATGTTAATGCCGTACTAAAAAATTGGAACTGTCACCATTTCCCCCCCCCCCCCTAGAAATCAAGAAGTGGCTCATCAATGTCTTAAATAATCATTGCACATTTAGTTATGATATCTATTATTTTCAACTACTATAGTTTATTCTCCTTTAATTAGTTTTCTATTTATTGATCATAATTTTATGTTGTAGATCATGACTGAACACATTAGCCAGCAAATATTGTATACACGACACCCTGAACCGGAATCACATTTCCGTCTTGAAAATCCAAGTATGTGTCTAGTCAATTTTAATTTAATTTATTATTTCATCTTATATTTACTTAGATATTTGTATTTGTATATGAGGAGGGAAGAGGAGGGGTTGTTATGGATGTGAACTATAATATTTATCAATATAACTAGAATCATTTAAGAGAAGGAGTTGGTCGGGAGGTGCGGTCAAATAAATACTAAATTTTTAAAAAATATTATTTTTAATACTATCTATCCAATTATTACAATTATATAGAATGTATATATATATATATATATATATAATATTATAGTATATATAGATATTATATATATATACATTAAATATTATATATAATCTATATAAAATGCAATAGTATATAATTGAATAGTATTCAATTAAAAATACTATTTTTTTTAAATTTAGTATTTATTTGACCGCACCCCCTGACCAACTGCTTCTCATATTATATCATGGTCAACCATCTCTACATCAATAGAATCTTTTAAATTATAGTAAATTCAGTGTTGTTTTTTATTTTTATTAATTTATCATTATTTATTCTTGTTATATTTATTTTTGTAACTTTATATCATGAATCAGGAGTATTACTTATGTAAACAAATTTTTTTTTTGCTGTGATGGGAAAGTTTTTAATTATAACTTATTCTTTCATCAGTCTCTTTAAATCTAATTTCATTAGTATTTATAATTGTCTGGAATTTTCATTATTCTGCTTGGTTAAGGATTTCTATATTTTTTTCAAAAATATGTGAAGTTTCACAAACAGTTTTGTTGAGCAATAACTCAAATAATGATAATAAAAGGCTTAGCGAACCCGAAGGTTCGATGCCGACACCACCAATCGCTTATTACACACCTCCCTCCACCGTTCGCCATCCAAACCCAGTCCCTTTAGTTCGGCTTTAATGCAATCTTCCCACCTTCACTTCGTGCTACCCCTCGGACGTTTACCATTCGGTACAGCAAATAGTAATCTTTTAGGAATTCTTTCGTTACTAAGCCCAACAATTTTACAAATCCATTTAATTCGCCGCAATGAAATTACCTCAATTATATTACCCAGATACAGTTCATGCTATTCGGCGTTGTGTAACCGTCTGAACTCTGCGGTTAACTCATCCTTCTTCGGTCCGAATATTCTATGCAATTCTTTATTTTCAAAAACCTTAAGACGCTGATCATCCCTTAATGTAAGCGGCCAAGTTTCGCAACCATAAAGAACTGTAGGTAAGATAATGGTTTTATAGATTCTAATTTTTAAGTTCCGGGACAAGAGGCGCGAGCTAGTTTTGTTACAGAAAAAGGACAAGCATTTCCCGCCTTCAGTCTAACCTTAATTTCTTCTTCAATTTCGTTTATTCTAGTTATCGTAGACCCTAGATACCTAAATTTCTCTGCCTGTTCAAACATATTACCATCTATATCGATATCGCCATTTTTGCAGCTAACCATATATTTTGGTTTATCCGGATTTATTTCGAGTCCTAGTTCATTACTGGCTTTCATTAACGATGTCGTATTTAGTTTTATAGTTTCTACGTCTTCGCTTAACAGTACCAGATCATCAGCATAGCCCAGCACGGATGTTGTCCCACCCATATCCAACCCTTTCTCGGTACGCACTATCTCCCTAATGGCATGTTTTAATGCCAAATTGAACAGGACAAGCGAAAGGGAATCCACCTGTTTTGACCCGAACGAACCTCAAATTTTTCGGACAGATTATTACCGATTCTAACTTTATTGAGTGTTTCCGTCAAGCACAACCTGACTAGATTTACTAGTTTTTTTGGAATCCCCTGCTCGATTAGAATATTATACAGTTTCTGGCGGTCAATAGAATCGTAAGCCTTTTTAAAATCGATATACAGCTGGTGAACAATACCGTTGTACTCCAATTTTTTCTTTAATATTTGGCGTAAAGAAAATATTTGATCAATAGTCGAACAATTCCGTCTAAATTCGCATTGGTAGTCTCCGATGATTTCATCAGCGTATTCCGTGATTCGACTGGTTAAGATTAAAGTGAATATTTTATAACATACCGGAAGGAGTGAAATTCCTCGATAATTATTACAATCTGTCCTCGGGCCCTTTTTGTGAATCTGAATAAGAATAGATTCTTTCCATTCTTCGGGTAATTTCTCATTCTCCCAGATTTTTTTAACCAACCGATATATTTTAGAAACTCCAGCTTCTCTGCATGCTTTAATTGGTCAGTAGGAATATTATCGGTTCCTGCTGCTGTATAAGATTTTAATTTTCCGATAGCTACTTCAACTTCCTCTTTACTTGGTCTTTCTATTAACGGTTCAGCACTCTGGTACTCAGAAGGAGGACACAGATCATAATTTCTCGTATTTAAAATATTGTCAAAATGGTTCTTAAACTTATTCAATATGTCAACCGGATCGGTCAGAATATTTTCATCCCTAATTCCAGACGTTACGGGCCCCAAACATTTACGTGATCTGTTTATACCTTTGTACATGTCTCTTACGTTATTTTTGATTCTATTAGCTTCTATTTCAATTATTTTATTTTTAAGATACTCCCTTTTTTTATTTTTGAGCAATTTCATCGTTTCTTTCTTTGAGGTTCGGAAGTATTCCAGATTTTCTTCGCTAGGATTATTTAGAGCTTTTAATTTAGCGGCTTTTCTTTTTTTGCACATGTTTAAGCAATCTTCATCAAACCACGGTTTGTTTTTCTTATTTTCCTTTTTTCCTAGATACGAGTTACCGACTACTTTAATATTATCCCTGATCTCTACCCATAACTTGTCAATATCCTCGCGGTCCTCGTTAGAAAGCTCTAAAGCTTCAAACGTATTCATAACATCTAGCTCGAATTGGGTTCTAATTGATGGGTTTTTTAATTTTTGCAAATTAAAATTCTCAAAATCGAAACGGTTTTCTTTTCTCTTTTTTATATTAAGTTTTTGTCGAAGTTTCGCGATTACTAATTCATGATTTGACCCACATTCTTCTCCGCGATAAGAATGTACATTAATTATACTGCTTTGCCAGCTATGTTGTATCAAGACATGATCGATTTGATTTCGTGTTTGTGAATCCGGTGATGTCCAAGTATATTTATGAAAATCCGTATGTTTAAACGTAGTACTTTTAATTATCAGGTTTTTCGAGATGGCAAAGTTTATCAGACAGATCCCATTATCATTATTTTATTCTTGCAAACTTTCTTTACCAATCGTCGGAATATAAACTTCTTCCCTTCCTACCTTTGTGTTCGCGTCACCTACAATTATTTTCATGGAGTTTCGCGGTAGTTCATCATAAACTCACTCAAGTTTATCTTAAAATTCATTTTTGACTTCATCGTCACTGTCTTCGGTCGGACAATGTATGTTTATTAATGCGATTTTAAACCGTCCCTGAAATATAGCTACCGAAATTCTATCACCAAAGAATTGGACATCCCTCAAAGCGGATAGCAATCTATTCCTAATTAGAAACCCGGTACCTAAACAATAATTCCCGCTTCCTCCGTTCCAAATACATAATCAATATATCAGTGAAATTTAATTTTTCTCTTGGTATTTTCCATTCTTTATTTACTGGTTTATTTGGGTATTTAAGCCCTGTTGAAAAAGAAGTTCATATTTCTAAACACCAACTGAAGATTTTACAATATTCTTTACCCATCAAAAACATTGACTTACTTCAAATTTGAAAACACAGAACAAAATAAATAGCTGGTTGGAGACAACACATTTCTTTTTTTTTTAAATATGAGATAATTACTTTGGTTTGATTTAATTTTACAATATCATCTTGAAAAATTCCAGGAAATTAATTTATCATTGTTTAGCATATTTTCAGAATTAAAATGAATATCAACTTTGAAAAATTATTAAACATAACTTATAGTTGTTTTTAAAATATAAAAAAAATCTGGTGCGCGCAACACACAACTTTCACTTACCGCTCAACTTTGAATAGAAATTATTTTCTGGCCATGTTGGGCTATTATAAAATTTTTGAATTGCATTTTTAACTGTGCTAAAAGATTGCAGCTAACAAATCATAAATACTATTAAAATAACAAAATTCCTACTTATTATATCACCAGTTGATTATGGATTGTATGACTATTGGTTATTAAACTATTATTTTCAATTGCAAAGTTTACTAAAATGGAATAAAGAGATTTGCATTGTCGCCCATAGACATTTAGATGGTCAAAAGTTTCACACTGATTGTAAGTGGATTCTGTTGGAATATCACAAAGGGAAAATTTATCAAATTATTCACTAATTTAATTTTCTATAAGGTTACATAATGATTTTTCGGAGTAAACGGAAAATAGATACCTAATTATTTAAATATAATAACAGATTTAGAGTTATTAAACTACAGTAAATATATTTCAGGTTATAAACATACCCATGAAATATTTATAGTTCACTTCTTCTTTCACACAAGTACAATGAAATAGTATCTTAAACAATGTCATTGCCTTGAATCCATTTAAATTTAAATATAATATTAGATCTATAATCACTAAACTACAGTAATGTATTTAACGTTATAAACATATGCTTTATACATCCATGAAATGATATTATGTTTTATTTCTCCTTTCACACAAGTACAATGAAACAGTTTTTTAAATGTCATTGCCTTGATTAGGTGGATTTTAAATACCTTTTCAAACTTAAAAATATTGTTAAAGTTTACATTTAATCAGTAAATTTAATTTGATTTACTTGAAAACATGTGATTTACATTAAATATTACTAGTTTTCAAACATTATTATTTATTGTTTTTTCTAAAATTCTCCACTTTCCAATGATATATTATACGTATACCTTCTGATTAGTATTTCCGGAGACTCATTTTCCACCTGGATTAGCATTTTTATTTTTTTCTCCTTTATTCAATTATCAAATTCTTTCAAAAGTTATATTTAGCATTTTTTCTTAACTTTTAATAATGAGAGATAGTTATTTTAAATGAACCATAGTAAAGGTACTTCAGAGGAAGATG